CGGCTGCGGACCCGGCCATTCCCGAAGAGGTGAGCGGCGGTGGCGGTGGCGGTGGCGGCGCCGGCGCCATCCCCCTGGGCTCTCGCGCCGGGGGCTCGGCCGGCCAGTGTTGATGCGAGGGACCGAGGCGGCGGAGGGAGCTCCGGCTGGGCTGGGCAGCCGGCGGGGATGTGGCTATCGACCGAGTGTCCCCCCCTCCGTCCTGCGGCTCCTCGCTACGTAAACACACACGGTGGCCCAGGGGGGTTCCCCGGCCCCCACCCAGGTGGGGTTGGGCAGCGGGGGCAGAGCTGGAGCCTTTCCATAGGGGGCGAAACTCTGGGCTGGTGGAGAAGGTCACGCCTGGCTGAGGTTTCCAGCCCGGCATCCCTGAAATGGTTCCCCCCCGCCCCCCTTTTTGCTAGCCGGCAGGGACGGCGTCGAGGATGGAGCATAGTGGCGGCCGGGGCAGTACCCCTGAATCCCCCAGCCCTAGAAACTGCCGCGCGTGTGATTACTCCCTGGCCGTGGGCATGACGGAGCGCATCTCTCGCCACTCTCCTCCTATCTTCCCTTTGCAGGCCCTTGTCGCTTTCCCACTTTTCTACTTGTTTGGGGGATTTCTCTCGACAGGATTTGCCCAGGGGATGGTTTTGGTGTAGCCTTGACTTTTTTTTTCAGCCCCAGATTCTAATAATAATGTTTGTCAGTGTTCCCATGCTGACCCGTAACCGCCGTCCCATCCTCATCCACCACCCCGCTCATTTCCCAGTTGTACCGCTTGCTTCTAACCTTAGCTTCCACTGAGCAGCATTTTTGCGCTTCTCTTGCCCTGGTCCTTTGAGGCCCTCTATCCCATTCCACCGCTCCCTCGCATCGTTATCTATTGTTATCTTCACAAATCCTCCTGGACACTTTGGAAGCGACCCACTCCCTGCACCCCAGGGCTGTCAAGATTCCATCAGGTTTCACCTGCCCCCTTGCTCCCCTTGCGTGGCTGGCCATTTGGGTTAAGTCTTTTGGGGTTGATCCACACCTCTTGATTGACATCTTCGTGTTTTTTGTTTTCAGTGGGTTTAATTGATCCGTGTCGTTCCCATTTTCTTCCCATTTTTTTCTCTTTTATGTTTACTTGTCTTTAGTATTTGCTTCTCTTAACCTGTCCTTGCATCATTCAACTTATTACATTGTCAAATTACTTAATTTATTCTCTTTTTTTTCTGTATGTAAAACTTACTACATTTACTATTTGAGCATTGTATCACATAAACAATACCATATTTTACAAACACTTGATTAGTGTGACTTAATTTTGTTGGTTTTGCTTAAAGATAAACTTGTTACTTAGGTTTCCCAATTCTCATACTATCTGCTTTCTTATCTCTGCAATATTCTTTTTCCTGCTTCGTTATATTTACTTGGGAAATTCATCCTCTACTCGTGATATATCATTAGCAGTCTGTTCACAACAATGTTTGTTTTCCGCCCTTTTATGCTATCTCTGACCAAAATGTGCTCAGCACCATCATTTGAGCTAGGCTGTTTCTCACATTTTTTTTCTTCTTTCTCTCTGTCTCTCAGTTTTTCTTCATTTTTTTTTATTTTTATTCTTTTTGGCTTTTTGAGACAAGAGTGTCTCTGTGTAGGTAGGCCTGGCTGTCCTGGAACTTGCTCTGTAGCCCAGGCTGGCCTCGAACTCGTAGATTTCCATCTGCCCCTGCCTCCCAAGAGCTGGGATTAAAGGCGTGCACTACCACCACCTGGCTTTTTCTTGCTCCTTAATTGGAAATAACTCCAACTTCCAGTTTGAATTTATGTTCAGGACAGTTTCCACTTAATTTCTGTATTTCCCATAGCTTCTTAGATTCCAAGGATAAAGCTCTTCCCATCATCCATTTCCCAGTTCAATCTGTTTCCCTTACCCCGCGTTACCACTCCTTCTGTCTCGTTTCCTGGCTTTGGGTACTAACTTGCTGAAGCTTCCTCTTGTCTTCCCCACACCTCCACATTCCTTCTTATTTATAAACAACTTTGTTCCGTTGACATGGAAGTTTATTTTTAGGATATATTGTTTTAATGGAGAAATGCTAGGGGTCACATCTGCTGTCTGTTTTCTCCAGGAATCGGATATGCCTTTGTCTTCTTACTAGGCACAGGTGCCTCTGGGCTTCACTTTACGCTGCAGTGTGTGTATGGTTTTCTTGAATTGTAAAGATGCTTGAAGACTGTGATAGAAAGAAGTATGGGTAAATTAATGGATAGGAGTTATAAAATGATAGTTCTCTGATAGGACACTAATTTGAGAACTTTGTTTCAGAGTTATTCGGACAGTTTACATTTCTGTATGGAAGACTTTGTTATTTTCTTGAGGGAGCTAGATTACTTGGACCTCTTATCTACTCCCCCCCCATCCCCCTTTCTTTCTGAATAGTGAGTGTTAGGGCTATAACTTTCTGTTTGGCACTTTCTGGGCATTTCCCATGTACCAGTGCTTGCGAAACTCTAGGCTACATGAAGTTAAATTAAATCACCAATAACTCACTGAAAGCATGGTCCTATCTCCTGAAATTGTATTCTTAATTTATTTAGTTAAAAGATGTTTCCTATTGCTCGCCTCCTAGGATTTGTTTGGCGCTGAATAGTTGTCTTGTGTAGAAGATGATAAATATATTTGGCGGGGGAGATAAAAAGTGGACCTCTATTGACTACAGATACAAATATTATATGTAACAAAATAGATTCTTCCAGGAAATAGTATCATGTAGGCCAGGCTTTTCAGGAACTCAGCAGTAAGCTGAGGCTGTGGGACTCCTGGTCCTTCTGCCACTACCTCTTAAGTACTGGGTATGTGTCCCTACACCCAGCAAGAGATAGTTTTAGAGTTGACGTTAATCCAGAGGAAACAAATACCTTGTGGTCTTTTAATTAAACTTCTTTATGTGAACTAAAGGAATATCTTTAATAAGTACCATGGAAAGATGAAAAATTGTGCATGTGTGTAATGACATATTTTATTCTAAATTTTTATCTTACCTGGGTTTAATAAAAGTTTGTCAGAAATTTCAGCTGCACCAAAAATTAATTACAGGGGGAAAGCCTGTCTATTATTGAAAAATTTTTTTAAAAGTACAAACTTTCCACATAATTGCTATAAATATTTGCATGTATTACAAATAGTCTTTTTAATTTAATGCTTATGTAACACATTTTATATATAGATTTGTAGCTTTTAAAATATAATAGTTTGGCCAAACTTTATGTGTCCCTAGGTAAAGTATGATTTAACTAATAATTTTTTTGGACATTAAGTTATTTTGCTGTTGTCATACATCTTCAACATAGAATGTAGACAGTGGTATGCAAAATTATGCTTGAGAATGAACAGATTTGATGGCTTGTATTTGTATTACTTTATACTCAAAAAGGTGCTCAAAATAAAATGTTCTGATAAATGACAAGAACTTACTAAATGTTTATTAAGTGTATGTATAATTTTGCTATTAAGCATTTACTTCTGACCATTTATAGTTCCTTGATGATACTTTCTTCCTGAGACCATATGGTACAACATGGTACATGGTATAATATTACCAGATGGTTAATAATAAATGCATTTATTACTTAAATGTGTGATACCAGGGTGTGATATTTACTACCTGTTCCTTTCATACTGTGTTTCTGGAGAAAGAGAGTTTCTTAAAATGGTAATACAATTAGAATTTTATTATTTTCTGTTTTCAGGATCTCTTAGCCAGTCTTGGCTAAGCTGTGTAATTATAATAATGTATTGGCTAGGGAATATTCTAGGATGGGATCTACTTTATAATGAGGTCCACTGTATTAAAATACATCTTTGTGAACCCTGCCAGGGCAGGTTGCGTCATACCTCTGAAAAGTGATACTCTCACTACGGTAGAAAGGTGTATGTGCAGAAAGTTTTAGCTGTTGTTATTAATACTTGTTTAGATATATGCAAAGATTTTGTTTGAAGGGGGAAGCTATAAAGTAGCTGTTTGTCTTCAGTATTTCTCTGTTGCTCCCTTTTCCTGACTTAACACTTTACTTAAGGCATCCATTCACCCTTTTATTTAAAAAAATTATCTTGTTCTGGGTGTCGGTGGCACATGCCTTTAATCCCAGCACTTGGGAGGCAGAGCCAGGTGGATATCTGTGAGTTTGAGGCCAGCCTGATCTACAGAGCGAGATCCAGGACAGGCACCAAAAATACACAGAGAAACCCTGTCTCGAAAAAACCAACACACACACACACACACACACACACACACACACACACACACACACACACATCTTGTATCAGTTGCTTATATATGCTGGCAATCTATTGCCAGTTGACCATAAGGGGTGTTGGACTGGGTACGTGAATTATGGAATGTCTTAAACATAATTGCAGATTTGATTTAATTGTGTTTGAGGCCAGAAGAAAAGTAGTACAATAGACTAGAGCAGTCAGACTTTTCTTGGTGTTCTCTGCCCCGTTTTACTGATAGGACGAATAGGTCTAACAGCAGCTGGAAGGCTATGTTCTGAGTGACAGGAAGAGAGCCAGTGTTGTCCTCCCTGTGCTTTGGTGCCCAGTCACACAGTGGGGCAACCGCCGCCGCCGCCGCCGCCGCTGCTGCTGCTGCTGCTGCTGCTGCTGCT